GTCAGACTACAGTCAATCTACAGTCCGTCTAAAGTCAATCTACAGTCCGTCTAAAACAGGGGTGGGCAATTACAGTTCCTGAGGGCCGCTACCCTGCAACTTTTAGATGTGTCTTTGGTTCAGCACACCTGAATCAAATAATTAGATGATTGAGAGGACTCTGGAGGAAGTGACTGCATACTAAGGAGGTAACCGAGCCATTTAATTCAGGTGTGTGGAGCAAAGATGGATCTAAAAGTTGCAGGATACCGGCCCCCAGGAACTGGAATTGCCCACCCCTGGTCTAAAGTCAATCTAGTCAGACTACTGTCAATCTATAGTTAGTCTAAAGTCATTCTACAGTCAGACTATCTAGACTGTAGTCAGACTACAGACCGTCCAGTCAGACTACAGTCAATCTAAAGTCATTCTAGAGTCAGTGTAATCAGACTACAGCCAATTTACAGTCAGTCTAAAGTCATTCTACAGTCAGACTAGTCAGACTGCAGTCAGATTACAGACCGTCTAGTCAGACTACAGTCAATCTAAAATCATTCTACAGACAGACTAGTCAGACTGCAGTCAGACTACATACAGTCTAGCCAGACTATAGTCAGACCACAGTCAGTCTAGTAAAATCAGTCAGACTACATTCCGTCTAGTCAGACTACAGTCAGGCTAGTGAAATCAGTCAGATTACAGTCAATCTACAGTAAGTCTAAAGTCATTCTACAGTCAGTGTAGTCAGACTACTGTCTATAGTCAATCTACAGTCATTAACAATTTCCTCTTTTAAAAGATGAAATTGTCCAGTAAGCTGTTTCCAAACGAAATTTCTTTTTGTTTTACACTTGTGTAAACAAAATGACAAATAAAATCTGTCTAAAGTTTCTAAAAAAAAGTCAGTCTCACCAGACTACAGTCAGACTACTGTCAATTTACAGTCTGTCTAAAGTAAATCTACAGTCAATCTAAAGCCAGACTACAGTCACACTACAGTTGATCTTCAGTCTTAAGTCAATCTACAGTCAGTCTCAAGTCACTCTACAGTCAGACTAGTTAGACTGTAGTCAGACTACAGACCGTCTAGTCAGACTACAGTCAGACTACAGTTAATTTACAGTCGGTCTAAAGTAAATCTACAGTCAATCTAAAGCCAGACTACAGTCACACCACAGTTGATCTTCAGGCTAAAGTCAATCTACAGTGAAACTTCAATCAATCTACAGTTCGTCTAAAGTCAATCTACAGTCAGACTACAGTCAATCTACAGTCAGACTTCAGTCAATCTACAGTCCGTCTAAAGTCACTCTACAGTCAGACTACAGTCAGTCTAGTAAAATCAATCAGACTACATACCGTCTAGTCAGACTATAGTCGGACTACAGTAAGGCTAGTAAAATTAGTCAGATTACAGTAATTCTACAGAAAGTCTAAAGTCATTCTACAGTCAGTGTAGTCAGATTACAGTCTAAAGTCAATCTACAGTCATCAACAATTTCATCTTTTAAAAGTGAGCTGTTTCCAAATGCATTTTTGTTTGTTTTACACTTGTGTGAACAAAATGACAAATAAAATCTGTCTAAAGTCTCTAAAAAAAAAGTTAGTCTCACCAGACTACAGTCAGACTACAGTCAATTTACAGTCGGTCTAAAGTAAATCTACAGTCAATCTAAAGCCAGACTACAGTCACACTAAAGTTGATCTTCAGTCTAAAGTCAATCTACAGTCAGTCTAGCCAGACTACAGTCAATCTTCAGTCAGTCTAAAGTCAGTCTAGTTAGACTACAGTCAGATTAAAGCCAATCTACAGTCAATCTATATTCAGTCTAAAGTCAATCTACAGTCAGACTGCATTCAGTCTACAGTCAATCTACAATCATACTATAGACTATAGTCAGTCTGCAGTCAATCTAAAGCAAGACTACAGTCACA